TCGCAGGGGCAAGCGGCCGCCCTAGAGGGAGGGGAAAGGCTTCGGCGGTGCAGGATGCGGCGGACGGCCAGCCAGCCAGCCAGCCACAACCTCCTGTTAAGGCAGGCAGCGGGTGCGCGCTCGTGGGGGGGGGGGGAAGGAGGACGCTCCAGCTGTTTCGCTCTCCCCCTTCTCTCCTCTGCACAAGCCCTTCCCGTTCTTCTTCTGGAACGACACACACAAACACACACGCAGCGCCGAAATGGAATGGATAGCAATTGGTGTTGCGTTGTTGTTTAGTCCTTAAGTCGTGTCCGACTCTTCATGAACCCATGGACCAGAGCAGGCCAGGCCCTCCTGTCTTCCACTACCTCCCGGAGTTGGGTCAAATTCATGTTGGTAGCTTCGATGACACTGTCCATCCATCTCATCCTCTGTCGTCCCCTTCTCCTCTTGCCTTCACACTTTCCCCACATCAGGGTCTTTTCCAGGGAGTCTTCTCTTCTCATGAGATGGCCAAAGTACTGAAGCCTCAGCTTCAGGATCTGTCCTCCCAGTGAGTGCTCAGGGTTGAGAGTTGCATTCCTTCATCCAAAGATGAGAGAGAGGCCATCCTACAACAGCAGCTTCATCATCCCGTGTATCAGATGGAACGGGGGGGGGGGCAATCCAGGAAGGGTTATGCCCAGTCAAAAATGGTAGTCCTTAAGGTGCCACGAGACTCTGTTTTGGGGTACCCATCCCTCCCCCCCATCTTGTTTTCCCATTGGTGCTTTTCATATTCTCCCTCTCTCTGGCTAGAGAATAGTGGGGTCACGGCAGAAAAAGGACTCCACCCTTGTCTTTGGATTAGGATGGGCCGGTTTGGTTCCTTTGTGCATTTGCTTGTGTACGCACGTAACAGCACTATTGTGAGAGAATAACTGGGGTGGTGGTAAATAGCAAGAACTGAGACGAGATGCTGCCTGGATAGAAGGGAAATCAGAAAAACCTGGATAACTTAATGGCTGAAATCAGGTTGCCTCCTGCAATCAGCAACTAGGGGAGGCCCATTTGAGTCAATGGAACTTACAAAGGGGTCCCGTCAGACGCCCACTGGTTCAATAGTCCAGTCTGACATGCTACACTAAGCAACAGGATTTTAGCTAATATGTAACTATGGCAGGTAGGAGCAGGTGGCCTTACAGAACTTGCCTGGTTCCCATAGTCAGTGTTTCCCAACCTAGGGGTCATGACCCCAAAGGGGTTGCAAAAGTGTTTTCTGGGAGGTCCTAGGTGGCTTGATATGTGTTGCAGTCCTTGTTAAATAATTTCTTCCTTGACTTTTCAGAGCAGGATATTAAAGGGAGGCCCCTTGGGAGGAGAAAGAAGGGATGATTTTAGCCCATTAAAATGCCTTTTTATGCAAATATGGCAGTGGGGAGGTGTCACAGTTACTTGGTTATTACAAAAGGGGGATAAAATTGAGAACCACTGCGATAGGCGGACAGATGTAAACACACAGAGGTGCCCCGGACTGAGTGTCAGTCTGTGCATTGCAGAGAACAATGTCGAAAAGTCTGATGGTTCCAAGCAGGATGCATAACACAGCTCCTGTAGTTTGCAAATTAATTTGCTTTGCTTTGTGGATATTGGGAGGTAAGCGCAGGTTTAATTTTCAAATATAATTGCTCCATCACTAAGGACAGCTCAAATATCAACTCTAAGGGATTTCGGCTTCTATGAATATCCTATTCAGGGTTCAAAACAGGTCTCCTGCATTATCCATTATCTGATCCTTTGCACTGAGATGGAAGCTTTTTGATTTATATGCAAAGTACTGTATTTATTTCACCACTGAGCGACTGCCAAGAGTTTACCTAAGGGTTTAAAGCAATCAGAGTTTAAACACAAAAGCAGCATGCAAGTAAGTGATGATGATGTCAGTCTTGCCACACAACAATAATCATCTCCTTAAATAAGATCACCTCTCTGCTATAATCTCCCATCTGGAATGTGGAAATAATAACAATCTGCCTCCCAAAGATTTTACTTGAGAGTAAGAGTAAGATTAGATGGCTGCAAAAGTGTGTGCCTGATTACACCAGAGTCACTTTTAACAGGAGTAAGGTAAAGTTAAAGGTTCCCCTTGACCTTTAGTCCAGTTGTGTCCGACTCCAGGGCGCGGTGCTCATCCCCGTCTCCAAGCCGTAGAGGCAGCGTTTGTCCGAAGACAGTTTCCGTGGTCACATGGCCAGCGTGACTAGACACAGACCGCTGTCACCTTCCCACTGAGGTGGTACCTATTTATCTACTTGCATGTTTACATGCTTTCGAACTGCTAGATTGGCAGGAGCTGGGACAAGCGACGGGGGCTCACTCCGTCGCGTGGATTCGATCTTACGACAGCTGGTCTTCTGACCTTGCAGCACAGAGGCTTCTGCAGTTTAACCCGTAGTGCCACCAGATCCCTTAACTAACAGGAGTAATCGCCCTTAACGTGACCCTTCTATCTGCCAGGTAATTGCTTCAGCCCAGCCCCCCAAAAGTAGAAACTTTACAGGGAGCCTTGTGGTGCAGTGGTTAAACTGCAGTACTGCAGCCAAAACTCTGCTCGTGACTGGGGTTCAATTCCAGGTAGGGAGCTCGAGGGTCACTCATCCTTCCATCCTTCTGAGGTTGGTAAAATTGAGTACCCAGCTTGCTGGGTAGAAGGCAATGTCTAGCCTCAATGATTAAATTGTAAACTACCGAGAGAGTGCTTTAAGTTCTGTGGGGCTGTATATCAGTAGCATACTTGGCTTGGTTTTACAGCTGGACCAAAAAAAAGTCATCTTAGACATGGATCAGTCAAGCTGGAAGACATTTTCCTTTTCGATAGTCTCTCTCTTTTGCACTTCTAATTTTTTAAATTTTTCTTAAACTACAACTTGTCATCTTAGACATGGATCAGAGTCAAGCTGGAACACATTTCCCTTTTCGATAGTCTCTCTCTTTTGTACTTCTAATTTTTAAATTTTTCTTAAACTACAACATAAACATAAACGTAAAACACATAATCCAAAATACAAATCGACTGTGTTCCCCACCACCCTAGTCGGGACCTCTTGCAGTAATCCTCTTCTTCCTCTGTCTTTCTTCTTCTTCCTTTATTGTCCTCTTCCCCAGAACTGCATTGACTCTTGATTTGGAGCTTTCCCTTTTCCTCTTGTTAGCACATATTCAAGAAATCTGCCCCATATATCATAGAAATTATTATTTTTTATCTCTCCTTTCTTAACCTTTAAGTTACAAGTTATCATTTATAGCAATGTTCCATATTTCATTATACCATTCTTCCAATTCAGACTTTGATTCCCAATTCCTAGCTATTATTAATCTGGCTACTGTTAATAAATTCGTAATCAGCTCTCTAGTCATCTTATCATATTCCACATTCTGAAATATTGATAACAGAGCTATCTCAGGATTAAATTCTATAGCTTTTTCACACATGTCATTTAGTTCTTTAAAGATTAGTTTCCAAAATCTTTGTACTTTTTCGCATTCCCACCACATATGAAAGTATGTACCAATTTCCTTTTCACATTTCCAACAGACATTCAGACAACTAGCGTTAATTGTACTCAATTTTGTCAGTGTCAAATATCATCTTAAACCCAATTTGAATTTTTTTTATTCTCACTGATATAAATCGTAAAACCCTCATTTTCCACATTTTCCTCCATTCTTCATAATTTATTCTTTTTCCTAAGTCTTGTTCCCACACTAACTTCAATCCTTCTTTCTCAGTCTCGTCTTCTAGATCTACCAGGAATCTATAAATTTTACTCACTACACCCTTTACTGAATCAGTCATCTGAATATCTTCATATAATAGAAATTGTTCATACGTTGTAAATTCTCTACCTATATTATACTTCTTTACCCATTAATTAGTCCATCTTCCTAACTGCATATAATTCAACCATGATATATTCTTATTTTGAAGGATTTGTTTCATTTGATCTCTTGATCTCAATTTATACAACCAGTCTTTTAATCTTTTAATTTGGCTACCCCTCTAGAAAACTGCACATCGGAATATCTGCTACCCGTGCACTTTGGCACAGAATGCTTCAGTGCCAGGGTGCGTGGGTAGCATATCAGTGGCTCAGCTTCTCTGTTTGCTAAACAACTTTTCTTGTGGTACAACAAGTCTTTGGAGCGAGCTCTCAGATTCCAAGAAGACGCTAATGCTGATGCTGCCAAAAATGCAGTAGTATCTAGTGTTGGCAGCCAATGTACTAAATGGCCCTACTATGCTATTCCGTTTCTAGAACACATTCAACAATACAAACACCTGCAAGCATGCATGCCAAAACATGCTAATAGAAATTCTGTGTCCAAGAGAACGAAGTCTGCACTAAAGATGTAATAACCTCACAGTAAGTTTGGACAATTTTCAATATTTCTTTTCAGCAGATGAGCAGTCAGTTATACTATACAAAATTCTTTAGACCCTGTCTTATTTTCGGGGAAACACAGTATTACAAAGTAACAAACGAACACCACTCTGAGAAATGGTAAACAAAAACAATACTAAAATTGAACAGTATTCAAAGCAGTAAAGCATGACAATCCATTTAAAAATTCCACTCAGTCCCTGAAGGAAAGCTTGCCTGAAGAGAAAGGCCTTTGCCTGCTTGTGGAAGGACTGCAATGATGGAGACAGTCTGGCCTCCAGTGGGAGGGAGTTCCAAAGTCTGGGAGCAGTAACAGAGAAGGCCCTCTCCTGTGTCCCCATCAAATGCACCCATGAAGGCAGAAAAGCATCTCTTAACATCCAAACAGTGGGAGACATGGTCTTCAATATAGCTTGGGCTGAAGCTTTTTAGGGCTTTATAGATTAGAACAAGCACTTTGAATTGTGCTCGGAAACAGACTGGCAGCCAGTGGAGCTGCTATAACAACCTGTGTTAAGGCATCTGCAGTTCTCACTATGAACAGCCCTACCAGAGTATAGTAAAGCACTGGCGAAAAGACAGCAGAGGAGACAAAGAACATATTCCAAAATATGTTCATCAATCCTAGATCTAAGCACTAGTCTAATATCCACGGGTGACTAGGAATCCCATGTAGGTGAATGGTCTGGTTGAGGGGCAGACTGCTCCCTCTCAGCTTTGTTAGCCTTTGTAGAATGACCGAAGTGGCCTCAGAGGGAGCAGTAGTTCATTTTCAATGCAATCAAAGAAACACAGCAAAGCGATGGAGCCAAGAGGGATGGCTGTGTTCTTCCTCCACTGTTCTGATTTAGCTCCCTTCACCAAAAGTCTTTTTAAAAGGAAGCTAAAAGCAAAGTGTGCTGCTTCCATACCACCCCATAGTCCGTAAAGCTCTCTCTAGGCCGCTTGCAATTTAATTATGCAGGCTACACATTGCACCCCACCTCCCCGCCAGAGCTGGGTACTCCATTTGCCAACCTCAGAAGGATGGAAAGTTCAGGCAACCTTGAGCCAGCTACCTGAGCCCACAGGGATCCAACTTAGGTTCTGAGCAGAGTCATCACTGCAGTACTACAAATCTTCCATGGTGGCAGTGGGAAACAGCAACACACCGAGTCAGCCAACAGCCTGTCTATTATACTGTCAACTCTGGCTGGGTGCAGGTCTTCCATTACTGGCAAGACTCTCTCCCAGGCCCACATGGAAATTATTGGTCCTTCTAGGCAGACTCCCATTCCAAGTACTAACCAGCCCCACTCTGCTTAGCTTCCAAAACTGGATCAGACTGAGTCTGCTTAGTGGAACATTTTTGTTCCTCCATAGCTTGAATGGAAATGTAGTCAAGCACCCTTGTAGAGTACCTATTTATTTATTTGCATTATGCTACAAATATCGAGCACAAACAAGCAGAGAGTTATTTCCAAACCCAAGCCATGGATAATTATTAGCACCTGAAATGGGAACATAACAACTACTTGACATCACTAAACCTTCCCACATCTTTCTACAATGGGTGGGCCATGTTATAGTCACAGCTACAGAATTAGGGCCACAAAGCAGAGTTTAGTCTCATCCCCAAATGCTATGCTTCACTTGCAAGGATACGTCAGGTGTCAGACATACTGGACTTAGAACCAGAACTCTTTCCAGTGGGGATGGGTTGCTCAGCAATGCATGTAGGGAGAAGTTGGTACCTGCTGGCTATCTGAAAATTCTCTAAGATTTGAGATTGTAGGATAAATCCTCCCGCTTCTGTTGCACCATTATTTAGTTCTTTTATTACACTTTGTATGTTTGTACCAGTCTGCCCCCGTGTGGTTTTGTCTCAGCATAGCATAAGACAGAGGAACATAAAGCTGCCGTACAAATTTACAGAATTGGTGGGCCATCTAGACATATCTCTGACGCCCCCCTTTTTTTACAACTCCTATAAGTCACCGAAGCGACCAACATGAATTTGACCCAACTCCGGGAGGCAGTGGAAGGCAGGAGGGCCTGGCGTGCTCTGGTCCATGGGGTCACGAAGAGTCGGACACGACTAAACGACTAAACAACAACAAATAATTCTCCAGCCAGCACGATACCCTAAAAGGTAGGCGACACAAAGATGGCATATGAGGGTGTGTGAATGTGGGAGAGCCAATAAGGTATAGTGGAGAGAAGGTTGGATAAGAATGCAGGAGACTCAGGTTCAAACCACTCCTTGATAATCTCAACAATCTACGAGGGCCAGTATCAGTCAGACATAAAAAAAAGTTTTAACCAACTCTACTCTGTGAAGGCTGCAGGGCTATGACTCCTTGAATGGTAATTGTCGAACTAATTTCAACTAAGAGAAGGATGTTATTTGTACAGCAGTATTTACTCACGTCCCTCATTTTATTTAAGCTACTGAGGTTTGGGCTGTACTTTCCCCCCATGTTGGTATTTTGCAAAGTATTGGCCACACAGACAATTAAAACACACATATAGCCACAATTATTTTGGAATATTTTAAATTATATTTCTTGTAAGTAGAATATTTTCCAAGGCCAGAGAACATGGGCACTCAGCTAAAAAGAATGCCTATGTATAATGTTTCTATATGGACGTCCTCCGAACTCCAGACATTACTGTATTAGCATGCCTGTCGTATGCATGTTTACTTAAAAGTAAGTTCCATCTGATTTTGGCTTTTATTTGTAACACACCCGTAAGATAGGACAACAAATGTGGGGATTCTATGCCCCTTTCTTGCTGGAGGGGAGGCACAGAATGGCCTCCAACCATCTGGATGTGCAGATATCAGCTATCAGCAACTGCTCTGTTAAAAAAGATGTCGCTGCCAAACATCTGCAAATCAACATGGTCTGAAATGTACGAAAAAGGGCATACTCTCTTCCTGTACACCCTCTCTTTTTCTGCATCAGTTCCACTGGGTACTGGAATTAATTTTACCAATCTTAACATTTCTAAAATAATCAAACAAGCTCTCTTGAAACTACAGGACCCTCCCTTATCCACGGGATCCGTATCCGCTGACTCAATAACCCACGGCCTGAAAATACGAAAAGTAAAATCCTATTTCTAAAGATATTCATTTATTTCGGGAGATCCTCCTTTCAGTGATTTTTTTTAAAATTTCAAACAAGCCCCCTCCCACTTTTCTTTTTGTGGAACTACGCATGCGCGCGAAACCCAAACTCAACTCCTTACAGGAGCCGCCCCCTTCAACGCCGGCAGGCGAGGTCCACCCACGTGACCGACAGCGACGTTCCCTTTTTAACCCCGCCCCTTTTCCCTGTCGATTGGCTACGAAGGGCGCGAAGCCCCGCCCACGGGATGCCGCGCGAGCTGTTTTTGGCGCGCTTTTAGCGAAGCTCGCCTCTCTTCACCGGCGCTGCAAAGTTATTCAAGCTGGCGGAGATGCGGAGCCGCGAGGAAGTGGAGGCCACGCTGCAAGTCGCCAAAGTGGACCCGGCGGAGCTGTGGCCCGTCGTGCAGTGCCTCAGCTTCGGTTCCCAAGCGAACGCCGCCGAGCGTTACCTCCTCCAGCTGGAGCCGGAACTGTGCGCGGAGTTGGAGGCGGGGCGAAGGTACGTGGCCGTGCGCGTCTCTTATCGGGCCACAGTGACCCCTGGCTGCGAGGAGGCCTTACAGCGCCTGGGGCCGTCTAAGGACAAGCCTCCGAGTTACAGATCATAGAAAGCAGGCTAAGCAAGGAGAGCTAGAGAAGGACGCTGGAGGCCGGATGCGTTTGTCTCTCCCAGTTTGCTACTTTGTATCTTTTTACAACAACATGGTCAAAGCGCAACTTTGCTGTTTGAACTTTTATTTATTTATTTTTACACTTGTATACCGCACCCTCTGGCCTGGGGTCACCCCGAACTGTATACAGGAGAGAACTAAACACGATTAGTCGTCATAAAATTCAGCATAATGAACTGACGTGACATCATAAAATAAAATAAAACATCCAGCATACAATGACCTGTTGCCACACCTAGAACTGAGGGTGTGTGTACAATTTTTTTGGGTCCAGGGCTGCCCATTTTTTGGCCCCGGACCCTCCAGGGGCTGCCCACACCGTCCAAAATAAATAGAAAGAAAGAGCTAGAAATGCCAATGTTTGCAGAATTAGAATTTGGAGGTATTAAGCCATGCTTTTGAGGGGTGGGAACAATGTGATCCCTTTACAAGGTGAAGTGCTGCTTCTGAGGGCTTCCAAGATCTGCAGTTCACCATCTTTTAACCAGAAAAAAGAGGAGAACGCAGGGAGGTTGGGGGCTGGAAAAACAGTATGGGGAGTGGGCTGCGCATTCCCACACCTGACATAGGACCATTGAAATCCAAATATCTGACCAGTAATTGTTTGCACTCTATTCTGAAATAATAAAAAAAGATTACTTTATTATTGACTCTTGTGTGCTTTGTCTGTCCTGCAGCCTTGTGATCCGTGGGGACAGAGAGGAACATGCCATCTTATGCAGTAAAGATAAGACCTATGACATGAAAATAGCAGATACCTCTAATACTTTGCTTTTCTTACCTGGCTGTGCAACACCAGAAGAGTTTAGTCCAGACAAGCCTACTTCTAATATCCTTCACACTCAGGTATTTATTGTGTGCACATGTAAAATAATTCTTGCAAGCCAACAACAGGGGTATAAATATGTCACTTTCCTAACTAGCAATTTAAGTAGGATCATTGCATCTGTATTTTTCCAAATAATTCAAGACATTATGTGAGTTAGTGTCACTTTATCCTTAGAAAACTTTATCCTTAGAAAACCCTGTGAGCTAGGTTAGAAGAGCCAATGTTAAAGACAGCCTCAGTGTCATGTGAAATAAAAGATTCTCATAAGATATCCCGTTTGAGCTATTTATTTATTTATTGATTTGATTTATAGCCCGCCCATCTGGTCTAAAAGACTGATGGCTGAGTGGAGATTTGAACCTTTGTCCCCAGTTCCAGACTGACATTCTAGCCTTTGCATCAACCCCCTGGAGGCCTGCACAGTTTCTATCCCTGCTTTAAAACAGCCCCCAGGGAAGAACTTAAGGGTGAAAAGAGTAGATATATTGAAAAGGCGAAAGGACCAGCTAATGTGTCAGAGAGAGCTGCATCCTGCTATTTTCCTCGTAAGGTCTGTTGTTGATTAGTGGGGTTCTGCCTACAAGTGCCAGATTTATAAATGGGTCATGGCACATTCCGATCGAAGTTCTCGTTGCAGATTGCAGGAATCTCCAAAAATTTCTGGGAACTAAGAAGATGTCGGCCTAAATTAAAGAAGCTCAAGAAACTTCTAATGGAAAATCCATACAAAGGACCAGACAGTGAGAAAGAGAGCGCTTCGGCCCATTCCAAGGTACAAATAGGGGAGGGGCGGGTGGAAAAACTCCTTGAGCTAGAAGAAAACATGGCAGTTTATAAAATTAGATGGATTCTGGGCAATGAAACAAACTGAGCAATTAAATGCTAATTATAATAAGTAGAAAGTGTATACCTACGACAGTGGAGCAGCTGGAAAGGGCTGGCTTCCTAAAGACTATTTAAATTCTGCCTAGCAGTTTTGTTTTGGGGATATGTCATTCACCGGTGTTTCTTAACCCAGGATGGTGGATTCTTTTCAGCAGGAAAGGGTCCAAAACTGCACATAAACTCTAATCACAGTTGTCTGTCCTTAGATTCATGCACACATGCATGCTGTCACTTTTACCCATGCCTTAGGATTGTGTTTTGCTGGGTTTCCGTTCTTTCATGCCCACCACAGAAATGCACAGCTCCGGAGTTGGGCCCTGCAGCCATGCTCTGCTCTTTCTGCCACACAACTGTTTTGTGTCCAGCAGAGGTTGGTCTTTAAGGATGCAACAGGCTGTAACAGATATTTGTTCAGTCAAGCCGCAGGACATAGTACTTTATTCCTTCTCTCTCTGCCCTACACATCTCTCTCTCTCTCTCTCTCTCTCTCTCTCTCTCTCTCTCTCTCTCTCTCTCTCTCTCTCTCTCTCTCTCTCTCTCTCTCTCTCTCTCTCTCTCTCTCTCTCTCTCTCTCTCTCTCTCTCTCTCTCTCTCTCTCTGTGTGTGTGTGTGTGTGAGAGAGAGAGAGAGAGAGAGAGTGGGATACTCCTCACTGAGGGCTGAATGACCCACTGTTGAGGGAGGAAGGCCAAATGTTTGCTATCAGTGCAAGCATTAAGTGTGCTGTGTTTCTTCACATGAGAGTGAACAGCTGAGCTGTTTGGAGAAGCTTATGGCCAGTTTCTCCCCAAGCAGCTGGAACAGTGGATAAAGAAGGAGAGGAACACTGTTATTTTTCGTAATGGTTAGGGTTGTCAGTCTTGCTGTTTTTCTATTTGTGCTACTGTTTAGCATTTGTAATAATTATATAAACTACGTTTCTTTATTATACACTGCCTAAAGTAGCGATGGCTAGATGGGCAGTATAAAGGTAAAGGTTCCCCTTGACATTGAGTCCAGTTGTGTCTGACTCTAGGGCGCGTGCACGTCCCCGTCTCCAAATAGTACAGCCAGTGTTTGTCTGTAGACAGTTTCCGTGGTCACATGGCCAGCGCGACTAGACATGGAATGCTGTTACCTTCCCACCGAGGTGGTACCTATTTATCTACTTGCATTTATGTGCTTTAGAACTGCTAGGTTGGCAAGAGCTGGGACAAGCAAAGGGAGCTCAATCCGTCACGTGGATTTGATCTTATGACGGCTGGTCTTCTGACCTTGCAGCACAGAGGCTTCTGTGGTTTAACCTGCAGCGCCACCACGTCCCTTTTAGATGGGCAGTATACAAATCAAATAAATAAATATTTTGTGTGTTTCATTTGTCTTCACAGTACACAACAGAAGACTTACTAGATCAGGTCCAAGCAAGTGAGGAAGAAATAATGCACCAACTGAAGTCTCTAAAAGCATGCCAGATTGAAGGTATCTGTCTGTACCTAAGGAAAGCATCTAAGTCAGCTTTCCCCACCTGCTGCTCTGCAGATGTTTGTGATTCAGAGCCCATGATCCTTTATCATTGGCTAGAGCTAACGAGAGCTGCAGTCCAAAACATCTCAAGAACTCCAGCTTTGGGAATGTGTTATGTTATATGTGTAGAACCAATTTGTGTGGTTTCTTCCAAAATGTCTCCTAGGATTCCTCTTTAGTCAGATGCTGTGGGCCTTTAAAGACTTAATCACAATATTATTGCAAGAAAAAAGGTACAGAATAGGAAATATCTTAAAATTCCTTACAAATATTCTTGGGAATTTCTAAACACTCTGACAGTTAATTCCATTGTCAATTCCATCTTGACTAACCACAGTAGCAATGTGGCAGTTGTTTTCTACGCATCAGTGCAACAGTTTCCTTCTTCCTACTCCAGTTTAGTTTCCTCACCTTGGGACGTAATTTGTTTGCTTGTTTGTTTTCAAAACCAAGTGTGGTGATCGTTCTGTGGCACAGCTAGCGGCAAGAAACAGAACCCAGGACACCGCTGTGTAGATGAATGTGGGCTTCGTTCTTAGGGGCTCCTGTTGAATTCCCTGGGATAAAGAAAATGAGCTGAAATCAATTTGAACACCATTGGGGCGGTATCTAAACAATGAGGGAGAAGACCTCTTGCAGTATGTAGCCCTTTACTGTAGCAACAGGCAGTTTGGTGGCTTATAATAAGAGACTGCAGTTGAGCTTCTCTTTTTAAAAAAGGTTCAGAAACTCAACTCAGCTCTGAAGCCACATTTCAGAGTTACCTGTTCAACTTTGTTTCTCTGCTTGGCAGGATGCTGGAGGATGCTAGACTTCGATTATGAGATGAAACTGTTGAATCACGTCACTCAGCTGATATATTCTGAATCCTGGTCATTCAACAACGTTCCTTTACGTGTCTGCCTTCAAGAGCTTGGATGCTTAGAACCGGCGTAAGTTCTGTATGAAAGTATAGGTAGCTTTTTTTCTCTCCAGAAGAGTAGGATTTCTCGCCTCACATTAAAGTCATGAAGGTGCTGCTCTTGGGTGTAGCATACTGGTTTGATTATTAGTATTTTCAGGACTACACAATTCAGAGCTCCTAACTGTATCATTGAAAACCTGTTTATTTGTTGATCACAAGATGTGGGGAGGGGAGGTTTAACCCTTCCCTCCCCGTCTGTGATCCCAATGAAGGTCACCCGTCTTTTGGATGTGGCTCTTCCAGAACAAACATTGCCATTGCTGTAACCACTTCATTGCTCAAGGTAAGGGTCTTCTGGTGGATAGGCTTTAATAAGAACTGTTGTTTGGGAGGGAAAGCTTCCCTTTCTGCACAGAAAGAAAACGAAGGAAAGTGTTTCTCCTTCCTTTGCTTCTAATTTTGTTTTTAAGCCTACTGATCTGATTTATATTAATATAGCATCCTAGCTTAGTCTGCACTGGATTTTCTCCATTCACATAGCAGTGAATATTAATGGCTGTGGAAGAAGGCATAATTTGTGGAAAACACAAATTGGTGATTCTTAACTGGTGGGGCTATATCAGAATTTCAGGGGAGATTTGTGTAGTTGAAAAATCATATTCAGTGTTTTCGTTTTTTCTTTAAAAAGAGAAATACAGTTGTATCTTTTTTTATTACGCACTTTATTACATCATTATAGGATGCACAAAAGTACATGTATTATCTTTCTCTTTATTTCTGAGTTATCCTATAGTATGGAGTTCACTGTATGTGGATGGCCCCATTGTGCCCTCTCTCAAACATTACCCCTGTCAAATCTGCCATTTTCACAGTACCAAAACCTAACCTTTCTTTCCAGCAGCTGTGTTACTTTATGCTTGGTGGGGGTAACACCCACTTACCTTTCTTCCCTGTCTAATCAAAACTAGAACTACCCCCAGCAGGTTTGAGGCAGAGGTTTGAAACTTCTATATTTAAGAGTATTTTAAAAGCTGAAGAACATAGCACTAAAAGTAGTTGATTGTGAACTAGTGCTGTTGCAAGCACCAATACATGGGGTATATTGAGATTACAATAAGAATAAAAAGCATTTTGATATGCAAAATATGATACTGAACTCACAAATGATGCTGTAACTATACTTTTTTATTACAGATTTCAGGAGAGGTGAGTTTTGTTTTGCCGGTCAAACTAAAATAATTTCCTGAAAGGCTAATTTCAGATACAATTAGCATGTGGTTGTTTCATTTTTATTCGTGTCCTAAAAATAAAGTTCTTTTTTTTTTCTTTTTCTTTTTTTAGGGAAATGATAGAACACATTCTCATGCATTATGGAAGGAAACACACTGATGAAGGTAAGTTATATCTGTGCCAAGCCAGGTCATAAATAACTGGCCCCCTGTGAGCAGACTCAATGTGATTCAAGTAGACCTATTGTTACTATATATGTGCTCTGAAGTACAGTTGCTATTAGGCAGATTTAAATACCTGCCAGCAAAGTTTACTGACCTTACTTTCGATGCACTGCGTAGGCCATTGTATCATCTTATTTCCAGGTTGCAGAACATTTTCAGCAGATAGAGCTATGCGTTGAGTTTAGGGGACATGTGCATGCTCATCGCTTTTCCTGTGTATGTGTGTGTGTGTTTGCAAACTTGTAAGTTATTTCTGTTTTTAACGTTCTTCAATAGGTGAGACTTATTTTGAAATGAATGAAGAGAAGATATGCCGGGCAATAGCCCAAATGCTGTTGCAAAATGCAGTTAAATTCAGTCTCTCGGAATTCCGAGAGGTCTGGCAGCAAAGTGTCCCTGAAGGAATGATAACCAGGCAAGACCTGTTAAAGGTATTGTGAACCCCATAATTTCAATTAGTTATGTGCCATTTTCTCAAGGTTTTCTAGCTATAAATAATTCAGGAATGGGTTACCGTTCTTTTCTTCTGGGAATGTCCTGGGACTGTGTAGGGGCTACAGAGGCTGGTTTCACCCACAATGTGGAATTAGAACTCCCAGCCTGTGGCTTTGCAGCCAGATAGTTAACTCACTGAGCTATCCAAGTAGCCTCCAGTAATTTTACAGCAGAAGAGCTGATCTGTTCTAGCACTTAGTGTCAGGAAACCACCAGGAACAGCAGCATCCAAATTCCTCATGTAGCCTTGAAGCTCACAGAACATCTACAGGCAAGTTGCTGTTTCTCAGCATGACAGGGTTGTGAGAGAACTGTGAAGAATAAAAATATAATAAAAATTAATTACTGTTTTCCCTTCCTGTGTGTTATTCCCTTCAGGGTTTGGCTCTTGTGGATCAGTCCTCCAGACCAGAAACTATTTCCTTGCTAAATGTTGAAGATTTACCTGAAGACTGTCAAGAAAGATTTAATAGTTTGTTCAGCATAAGGCAAAAATGGACAGAAGCTGATATAACTCCATATATACAGTAAGTTGTCTCAAGGCCATTTTTTCAGCTGGACTGTGCCTTTAGGTTTACCTTAAAGTGTCTTGGATGTGTGCAGATCTTATTTTCACAAAACATGTTGCATTTGTATCTACACAGGCCATACTGATTTTATTTTAAAGCCTCTTGCAATTATTAGCATTTCCTTCTGGTGCACCACTTATTATATCTCTAGACAGTTCCTTGAAGGCAAGATGGGCAATCTTGGCATATGCCCACCCCTGGATGTCAGGAGGCTGAATCTACACTCCCAAAATATTTTTCTTTTCATTTTTTCCACTGAAAAAGCCATCCTGGGCCCTCGAGTGGCTACAGGATGCAATTTTATCTTTGTGGAGGGCTCAGTGACGTATAGTTTGAAAAAAGCCCTCTCTCAGCTCAAACCAGCTGCGCCTCTGCCAACATGGGGAAATTGCCCCCACTCCATAAAAGAGACAAAGGGACATTTTGAATGAAACTTTGTTTAAAATTGGGCATGGAGCTGGAGGGCCCTCTAACCCTCCTGAAAATTCGGGTTCATACATCTTTGGGAGTTTATACTCTAAATTTATCCCCATTTGGGCACTTGGGGGGCACGTTTTAAATTTATTGGTTTATGGTAAACTGAATCTCATAGGCATCCCTTCTCATGTATTTGGTGATCTTTTTCTACCTTACGTGCTTCTTCGTTACCTTGGGGAATCTCTCTTGACAGATAAGACTGAGGATGTGGTTGCTAACAAATGTTTATTAAACAAAACTTCTGGTTTCTCAATAACCGCCTCAAAGAGTTCCAAATCTCCCAACAGGGGAGTCAAACTCAACCCAAGGTCCTGATGGGTCTTGAGGACCTTGAGCCCCTAATACTGGGTCGGACCACCAAACCGCTCCTTGTTGGTGGGCTTGTGGAGGGCTTTGTGTCCGCCAGCACACAAGAATCCTGCAACAGGGATATCTTGCCCACTCCCCATTGTTGGGTTGGTCTTGGTTCTGACCTCTCTCGCGAGGTTCTTCCCTCCTCGAGGGACCACCCTTCTTGGGGTACACCAGGACTGTCCATTCCAATCCCCAGGTTCAGCTTACTAGACCATCACTCTTTCTCCTTCCTTCCTTTGTTCCCTTTTTTCCTCTTTCTCCCCAGTAAGAGGGCTTAGGAGGGGGTCTTATGCTCTGTCTTCTCTCTGCCTCTGGTGTGTCCAAGGGTCCTCCATATCAAGCCACTCCCATCCTATCGGAGGGTCCTCCTCCTTTTAATCTTCTTCCTTCTCTTCCTCAACTACCGCCTCTTCACCAATCCTCTATCTCTTTTATCTCCTCTATACCTCCCTTTCCTCCTTTCCTGCCATCAAGTACCCTTGAACAGTTGGTTCATCCCCTGTCATTCTTTTCCTGCCCGAGAGGTCTTCTATCTTTATTTCCTTTCTCAGTTCTGGTTCTACCTTCCCCATTCCTCCCCAGTCCTTTATATATACAGCTCCCAGAAGGGATAGGATATTGTAGACTATACCATATCCCTCATTTTTGGCTGGGGGGGGGGGAAATCCCAGATTCAGGTAGCTGGCTTGAGGTTGACTCAGCCTTGCATCCTTCTGAAGTTGGTACCCAGATCGCTGGAGGGGAGTTGGGGGGGGCGGCAATGTGTAGCCTACATAATTAAATTGATTACCCCGGGAGCAAATTCCTTTGCAGGCATACTTATAACCTTGTGTGACAGCCCTCCTCTGGCTCAACTCTGCATGCTGCTTGCGGACAGGGATGTATTTACTACCCATCAAGTAGCAAATTTTGCCCTGGCAGCAAAGAAGATTCGTGCCAAGCATCCAAAATCCTAAATCTTTTTAAGTGTAATTGTAATATGACAGTGCCACATATGCTTGCTGCTGTCATTGATATATTGCAATAACCTATGGTTTTAAGCAATCAACCAATAATTTAAGCAATAACCATTAATTCTTCCATCCTGATCTTCTAATTTGCTGATTTAATTATGTGATTGATTTATATATACTTTGATGATTTTATTTGATTGTATTTTATAATGTTTTATTCTTCTTTGTAAGCCGTCCCGAGTAGACTCTGTCTAGAGGGGCGGGGTAGAAATCTGTAAGTAAGCAAGTAAGTAAGCAAGCAAGTAAGTAAGTAAGTAAAAGTATTAAATTGTAAATTGCCCAGAGATAGCTTTAAGCACTATGAGGTGGTATATAAGCAGTATGCTGTATTTTCTGCATGGTCTCACTTTGCAGCAAAAAATGCAATGTTCTCTTTTACTATCCAAGTTCTTTATAATCTTTTTCTTGCTTGGTGGCCTGATTTCCTTGAACATCTTTTCACAGGATAGCTTTATTTCTCCTGTTTCATTTGTAACAGGCAGTAACTGGCACCTCACGGGTCCATAATTTGCCTTAAGAGTGTTTCTGGACTTGAGACAACTGAAGTATTTTAGCCTGTTTAAAGTTACATAAAAATATTTTTATGCTGTTTTGCAGGGATTTATGTTCGGAGAAGCAAACAGTTGGTGCATTGCTGACAAAATATGCTCGTTCTTCAATGCAAAATGGAGTCAAGGTCTATAATTCCAGAAGACCCATTTCATGAAAAACAATAGTGATGAAGATTTGAAATACTTTATAGACTGTCAACTGGTGGCTTAAACTTGGGATGTGGGGGTATTGGGAGTTTTTTAGTATTTTTTTCTCACAACTATTTTCTATGAGGCATGTAATAATATTAAAGTGCACTGGAATTTTTAAATAGAGTTTTCCAGATGAACTTCTGGCTGGAAAATTTCAGGATACAATAGATGAATGCTTCCTTCAAATCCTTTGGCGTTTTCTCTGAACATAAACTAGAAGCAAAAAAGTTATTCACATGGTTTAAAAGATTGGTATCATGATGTGACAGAATTCATTTGCTAATTTCACATGATCATGTGATTCACCCACAAAAATGTTTAAAATTTTAATTCAATTCATTGCCCATCTCCATTTCCTCGGTTGTGGCACTGGCGTGACAGGGTGGATCGTAAGCTTCTTTGAAGTGGCATATTTTCTCCCCACTTGTACTCTGCAAGGAGCTGTCCATGGAGTGAGTGCTCATGGTGTTGATGATGAAGACGAGGCTTGCCAGGTCTCAGAGATTGAGCTGCTGTGCCAGGAAATGGCTGGGATGCCCTGAATCTCCAGGCCAGGCAGACAAATGTCAGGAGCAGCGGTGGAAGGGAAGGAATGAGTTGTTTATTGTTACGGGGTGGCCATAGTGTTTGGGTACCCAACTCCAACCCTCTCCGAATGGCACCAGGGCTCACTGGCTTCCTGTGCCTGTCCAACACGACACCTAATAGACTTGCTTAGGAGCTCAGACAGGGATACCCACAATGCCTAGCTCACTCTCACACACATGCATGGAGAAATATGTTCCCAATTCCTGTGACATCACAAGGTCCCACCCCATGACTTGACAAAGACCCACACCAGGCATTGGGCCCCAGATATAATGAGGGGATGGGGAAGATAATCCCGTGGCAGCCCCTGACAAAAAGACAACGCTTCAAAACCATTCCAGAAAAATACTTTTATTGGTTTTGGAAAAGAGGCTAAATGGGTATCCTCAGCGGAGACAACAGCCTGGTTCAGCTCCAGCAGGACGCCTGCTTTCTGGTCCCTCGCATCCCCCTGGGGAAGAGGAAGCTTCAGGCCCTGCAAGAGAAAGAGAGAGAAAAACAAAAACTAAGGGGGCGAGATTGTCTGCTGCCGTCAACTGGCTTCAACCAAAGCGTATCCACCAACCAATGTTCAGGCAAATTCATCTTGAATTTCCACCTGCCGGTATCCACTGGCTTCCACCAGGAATATCCGCCTGTTCATCTCTTCCACTCCGCAGGCAGATTCCACCAGGTTCTGTCTGCCAACGTCCACTGACTTCCCCCTGATCTGTCGCCAACATCAGCCAGCTTCAAGTCACAGATCTCCGCCAGCCTCAAGCTGTTAACTTGCAAGCCCACTTAGCAAGCTCCTCTGCTTTTGCAAGAGAACTTGCCTTGGGCAGAAGGGTTGGGTCCCCTGCAGCAGCCGCCCTGGCTCTTTCTGCTGGACTGCCTTCTGGCCTCCTGCCCTGCCCAGCAAGCCCCTTTTATCTGCCAGCAGAGAGGTG